CAGACTCGTGGAAAGAAGGTTCAACTTTTTGCACTCTGTCCTTTCTGAGGGGACATTGTGACTTAAATCTAGCCAACAGCTGGAACTTTTTCATTTTATAATTTGCTGATAATTATAATGAACGTATACATGTTTGGTATAATAGTATTGGTTAGGTCGGAAAATAATTACGCTTTTTTGCAGATTTTCCTGCCGGTCTCATATATGTAATTTTGAAGAGTATATTCTACTCTGTATATTTTGGAATCACACATTCTCGTTTCAAAGGCATTTTAGCTCCATTTCTGGCTGATTGAAGTGACATCGGAACAAAAAACAAATTAGAACAATTTCCCTTTTACGAATTGAAAACCAAGGGAAGCAGCAGAAACCACGCACAAAGTCAACAATGCATTTGGCTCGGATATCGTTAAGACACGTACGGTGCAATCGGTGGTTCGATAAATTTTCCAAAATCCAAGCTGCACGTGGAAAAGATGATGGTGTGTAACCGGCTTAATTCACTGTACTTTACTGAAACCTGGCGAAACCATCGTACAGTCGACTTAGAGTCAGAGAATTGAAAGAACACGTGAAAAACTGTAGTGCCTGCGCTGATCAATAGGGAAAACCCTCGAAAAATTGAACGAGTTGGTTGATGGGAATTTTTATTTTTTTTTCATCCTCATCCGCCATACTAGCCAGATCTTTCTCCAACTTTTCTTTTTTCTCCAGCGCTTAAACAATTTCTCGAGGGATAAGAACTGTTTAAAAGCCAAGCTGATGTAGAAAGCTTTCTTCTCAAAGTTTCATCGACTCCAGGGAACCGGAATTCCACGTTGCTGGGATAAATAAGCTTTGCAACTTGTTGGCAGACAACAAGTTACGTTGAAGCAAACGCATGTTGCTTTGAGTAATAAAAAGCTTTGAAAGCTGAGATGTATGTATTTGAAATTGAGAGATTCTTTTTTAACCGACAGATAGTTCCTAGAGTGAAAGCTATAATAACTAAGAAGAAGGACTAAGGAATTTCGGGAAGAAGAATTTTTTGATTCGATAATTGATGATTTGGTAATTCATATAATTCGGAATAATTCGCAAGTAAACTAGACTTCCTCTTGCTTCTTGCGAAAGTTGAAAAAATGGCGGATGATATTGTAAACCCGACGTCGCATAGTTTGAGAAGTATAATGAACAAAATTTCGTGTTACCATTCGAGTGATTACTTGCGTCATTGTATTTGAAGTAATTCTTCGACATCAATCGTTTTCGACGTCGTTTTTTCGTGTTTATTCGTTTCTCACGGCGCTCCGCCGAACAGGGAAATTGAAATGAAAATCGAGATCGAAATGCAGCCGGTGGGAAACACAGCCGGATGGTTGGAAACGCGTCGCCGGGGCCAAAATCGCGGCGCCCTTCGCGCCGTTTCTCACGCTCGACGAAACGACGATAATTTAATCCCGGCATCTACGCGTCCCGTTCCGATTGCATTGCGTCGCGTAAATAACAAATGCGTGCACGCACGTACGCACCTGCGTGGCATTCACGGCCGCGGCAAGAATTATTTTCCGCACCAAATACGAAGACAGAGAGAGAGAGAGAGAGATCGATCGCGTCGTGTTCGTACGCTCCTCTTGCTGCGTCGGCGAGGGAAATCGAGCCTACGAGGAACGAACAACAGAGGCGAACGTGGCGACGGCGGATCGATAGATCGCGTTCGATGCCACGGTGGCGGGTAACGAGGCAAAACGAATAACGAGCAACGAGCAACGAGCAAATGAGTAACGATGTAGAGAAGAGGCAAGGACGCGGTCAAATTAACCCTTTGCACTCGACCGTAGGGCTGGTCGAGTGCTTGAATCAAGCCAACAGCTTTCTCTTTTTACAAGTTTCTTCGCTGATAATTATAATGGACGGGCACCGTTTAGCAGAGCAACCATACTCGCAAGCAATCACAAGTTTCTTTTTCATTTTACTTAAAAGTAAAGTAATCTGTAATACAAGTTAAACTGTATTGCCACTGGGTGTATTAAATTTGAAGGAGATTACCGGTATTTCTCTGGTTTCCAGAGAGAAGAGATTTCTCGAGACAATTGACACTCGATGATTCGCGTATTCGCGCCAGCCTTTGCAATTACGCATCCGATTAACAAAGAATAGAATACAGGGGATAAAAATAAGAGTAAAAAGAAGGAGAGAAATGAAATTGACAGAAAAAAATAAAGGAGAATAAAGATGAAAATAAAATAAGATGCAAAATAAAGAGTGAAACCTAGAGTAAAATACAAAATAAAAAAAGAGAAACAGAAAATAGGTTAAAACGTAGAATAAAATGAGACAAACGTAAACTAGACTTTCTCTTGCTTCTTATAAAAGTTGCAAACATGCCGGCGGATGTTATTTTATTTATATTGCCAGAGATACTACTCTAGATACTATACTTGCTGCAGCACACTCGCAGTGCCCGGGTGTTGCTTCAAACTGCATGTTAGAAAGCATGTGATCGGCAAAATTTCGTTGCAAATGCCATTTGAAGGATTGTCTCCGGTGTTGGTGGCATTTAATTTGAAGCTTCGGGAATAAATTACTTGCGAAAATTGTATGCTTGTGAAGGGCAATGGGGGTCGAACCTACCGGAACGATTGAAACGTTGAAAAATCGGTGGATGGGTGGATAAAACATAGTAGGATAAGGTGGATAAAAAGTCGATTCGATCGGGAGGGGTGGGAAGACGAGGACGAGGGGGAGGCGCGTAACGTCGTTAATGGATTTCGGCGGCGCGTGCGACAGCGACGCACGGTTCGGCGCGTGCGTTCTCCGCGAGACCGTTTTTCACCCCTCTATATATTTCGAGGAAGCACGAGATGAACCGGTACACGGCACGCGATTTTCGCAGCAGGTAGAACGACACACAACTGGTGCTTCAACTTGCAAACTGATCCGAATCGAGGCGGAATCGACGATATGACGTGCCAGCGTGCAGCTCTCGCTCTCTCGATCGTGGTCCTCTCGATCGTCGACTGGGCAACGACCGTGCAGGTAAACACGCATTTTAATCTACTTACACGCGTTTACTCTTTTTTTTTTTTTTTTTTTTTTTTTATTTTCTCTTCCTCTCTTCTTCGTGCTCTCGGTCGACGTTGTGTCGTTTCGCGTAAAGAGCGAGCAGAGTTCCTACGCACTTTCGGTTCTTATGAATTGTCGATTGTCGCACGGAAAAAAACGAAATATCGAAAGATCCTTCGTCGATCCAAAACCGATGAGATGACAACCGTGAGAGATGGGAAGGTTCGTTCGGTGAATTTTTTTTTTTCCAGGGATCGATCGATCTCTCGGAGACTACGACTATATCGCGTGATCGTAGTTGAAAAGCGGAAATGGTCGCGTGTCGGCGGCGTAATCGAACAACCTGGTTGGTTTCAGGCTGAAACGAGCCCCCTGCGGAGAGAGTTTTACGGGCCAGGCAACCCGGAATTCTTCGCCGAGTTTCTCGACGGTCACGGTAAGTGAAGAAAAGAAAACTCTCCTCGTACACGCTTTTTTTCTCGTCGTTTGTTCTGTTTCGCGGAGCAATCCAAGGTTTTGTCCGTCGCGTCGCTTCGTGTGTGCGTGTACGTGTGTGTGTGTGTGT